CACCCAACAGTCACGCCAGTAGGTCTTCAATTTCCGTGAACTTGTGTAATTGAATTTTGTCGGTGCCTTTTTTATTTTACCTTTTTTTTTTTTCAAAAATGAATGGTGATTTGATGAAGAATGTGTGGTTAAAAAAATAAGATTTTTTTTTGAATTTATATGTGATGCTACCAAAAATCGTACATGTCTACTTTCGAGATTGACGACTGAGAATAAGCACGAACGAGGTCTTCCAGTACTTGAAACAAAGGCCTAGATGTGTGTATCCTCGTCGTCTCTCCAATACTTAAGTCAGAGAGAGGGTTTAAGAAAATATATGTGCTGAAGAATTATGTAAAAACGTACATTGATAATGATTTGAAATGATGTATTTATAGATGTAGGCGGTGAACTCCTAGTAGGATTACAATGTTGAAATCCCTAGGAGTTCTAACGTGATTGGAAGTTGTAACTTTATTGGCTTTGTATTATTCATATGTTTGGATGAGGATGAGACTCCGATAGTTGCATCCTCTTAGAATGAGGTGACACATTTCCAGAAGGGCTCTATGCCTCCTAGGGCATCTTGACCCGAAGTAAGCTTCTAATAAGTTAGGCGTTGCACGGTTTGAGGCTTCGATAGCAAACTCAGCAAAGAGCTGTTGACCCGAGCTCGAGGACTCCTCACTTGAGGAGGTCGTGAAGTTTGGGCTTAGATGGGCCTTGAAACTCCTCGGGTGATAATAAAAAATTGATATCATCAATATGTAATATTATTTTAGTAAAGAATGCGTAGTTAAAAATTTATTTTGAAAATAATTGAGATCAAACAATGGTTTAAATTAAAACTTTAACGACTTGATTAGAAATGAGATAATTGCATAGCCCCTGTTTAAGCGACATTTTTGGGTCAAAATGTATTTTATAATAGTATTTTACTGTAGAATGTATGATTAAAAAGTAAGAAAAAATTTTGAATTTATTTGCAAAATTATTTTACGGGAAAATGTGTAGTTGAAAATGAGTTTGTGAAAAAATTGGGGCCAAATATAGACATTCAGTTCAATGATAAAAATGTTTAACATGGGTGAATTGATTTGAGTTGATGCACTATTATTCAGTCATTATTTAAATTTAAAACTCATTGGCTAGCTGATTGGACCGTTCTTAAGTAATCGAGTTCTTAAGTTGTTCAGCCTAGCATGGTCTGCCATTATGGTATTATGAGGGCACAATATTGCGGGTCGGGCTAGTCCGACCCATCATTTTTTATATTTTTTAAGGAACTAGATGCAAGCAACGTGCAATGCAC